TTTCTCTCTTTTTCTTTCTCGTTCTCCTCTATTTTACATATTTTATTTATTTTCAAGTATTATTTGAAAGACATCAGCATTCAATTTTTTATTCCGATGTAATTGCGCACATAGTAACAAAGAAGACCAAAAAAAATGGTGTTATAACATTTTGTGACGTGCATCGATGAGCTTCAGTGGTGGAAAAATAATACAAAATAGATGAAACACAAAAAACGGAAATATCGTTAATCAGTGCATAAATGTGAACAAATATTGTGTATATGTGTATATTTACCAAGTTTACAGCTAATTTTGGTTGCTCAGTGGAATTTCAATTTGAATAAATTTCTAAGTGATATTTTTAAGTAAAAGCTTGTTCCTAAAATAGAGAACATTTTCTCTTTCCCTTTTTGTTTTTTAAGAAATGAAAGATAAATTTAAATCAAACACGCAAATGGCAAGTGAACATACTGTTCTATCGTATATCTTTTGAATACGCTTATTCACGTCGACGAAATGTACTTTTCTACTTTTGTTGAAGGACTCTTGAATTACTTTGAATCATATGCTATACAGCTTCGCTTTTGGTTGCTCTCGAGTGCATTTAATTCCATAGAGACACGTGTGATCAATGAAAGTTGCACTGCTCGGTCACCGCCTTGCTCCGCGTCAGTCATGATTCGCACGATAAATGTTCTCCTCTTCTACGACAAAAACTGTTCGCATTTTTTATTTGAATTCAGCTCTTTGACTTTCATATTCATTCAGATGCCGCGGCGGATGTTCATTTAAGACTGTCTTACGCGTTTCTGATCAGCCAGAAGATAATCGTGTCACGCAAAAAGTGAAATAACGATGGAAATTCATACTTTAATTTAATCTATGAATAATAAAAATATCTATAAATTTAATTACAATCTCGTGCATTATATTTTTAACCGCCACGCCGATGCGTGATATCGCAACCGTTGCAAAGGATAAATATTTCTACGAGAGATATTTTCTGCGCGCCGTCGCCGTGTGGGTCGCAGCCGTGCACCGTTACGTCAGAAAACTGGAAATGATTGACCGCAATTTTATTAGAAAGTATGCGAAGACGACGACGAGCGGCGAAATTAGAGAGGCGGATTACCCGCGGTACTAATGGAACCGTCGCTGCGGGAAGAAATGAATCGCGTCGCATGGAAAGCTGGCCCGGTTTAATTGCAGAAGTCAAACATCGTATGCAACTTTCACCGACGTCTGTGTTTATGCATTATATGCCCTTTTGCTCCGCAGACTACGGTCGTGGGGCAGACGAACGGTGGTAAAGAAAGGCGTATAATATATTTCATTAGTGGGCGCGAAGCTTTCTTCGCCGTTATTCGACATATGCTACGTCAGTCGAAAAAAACGTCTCTGTTCGGTTTGCAACGTTTCAATTTTGAAACATGGTTCTACCGGAACCTCATTTTTTATAGCAACTTTAGGCATTTTCAATAAATTCGCATTATTCGCATTTAAGCCGGTACAATTTATTACGTAACAAAAATAATTAAAATAATTATTTATATCATAAACGAGACAAATATTTATAGCAAAACAGATTTACACTTAATATGCTCGAAGCTATTTGGAAAAGAGGGATCTTGGTATGAGTATCGTCCACACCTTCTCTTTTTTTCTTTTCTAAAACTTGATCTTAAAACTTTACATTTGTATAACCGCGATGACGAGATGTTTGTATAATAATAAATTATTTATATATATTATACCGACATATATCTCTGCACGCTCGTACAAGTTAGCAGCGCACTAGATATATATCGGGATAATGGAGTGCACTTTTCTTGACCTTCGCCGACATTTGCATCCGCGCGCCACGAGCGCATCGGGTGACGGTGACGGGCTCGAGAGGCGAAAAACGTATGAGAGTAGAACGAAATAAAATTTGCGGTAGACGCGCATCGAAATAGAAACTTGGACAAATTCAGCTAAACGCCGTTATCGCGTTTGCATATGTGCGAAATTAAAATCAGGTCAATCCCACCGTCCTCCTCGCGTCAAGCAGACGTACGGTATTTTTAGCTGAGTCATACGCACATACGCAAATAATAACGCGCGCGCGCGCGTGTATGTGTGTGTATGTAATATATACATATATATATATATATATATATATATGCATACATGCGTTATGCGTTTGCAACGTGTGCTCGCCTACACACAAGAGCGTTGCGCGTCCACCGCGGCGTATAACACGCAGCTCGAAACAATATGCATTGCATGCGTCGTCAATTGGTAGGCAAAGTTAATGGATTCCTCTACGTAGGCTCAACAAACGCAAATTTATTGGCCACGTGCATGATGCATCATGAACGCGATCCGTTATAATTCTCCCGGCTGGCCGCGAAGGAAATACGGCGGTTGCAAACACGACGGAAAATAGAATCGCAGTCGTACGACTGGAGAACTTGGAGAGCCCCTCGGACGTATTTGGGACAATTTAAGTCAAACGTCTCTTCGAGCGAGAACGACCAAATGCAGTTATTTAACATTTTTAATTTAAAGTAATTTATCTTCTCGATTGCGGATTCCCATTTCGTAAGAATACCATGATTTATTCAGAATCGAATTAATTTCTGCGTGGATTAATAATGGATATCCAAGTACTCTATGTATTATAAATGAAAAAGATTTAGGAATTACTAACTTGGCTGCTAATGAGAGCTTCGCGATCAAGGTTTAAAATAATATATCAAGTGATTATAAATTAAGTTTAGTATCTTTAATAAACAAGAGGATATTTTTAACTATTTTAAAATTAAAATTTCCAATGAACTATTTCAGAGAAAAGGATAATGATTCACAACAACATATAAAATGTTGATAAAATTTAATTTCTTTGCCTTTTAAAATTTTTTCGCTATATCCGTAGGATGAAGTTTCATATTTTGCAATAGTAACTACATAAAACATGAATTCAGTCCTTAATGCAGGACTTGATATAAGCTTGATCGATGACGGTGATATGCAAAATACAAGTTCAATATATTCTGATCTATTCAATTTAAATATCTTCAGAAAATCTATAGAGACTTCAAATAAATTATTTATATCTTCCAGTTAATTTCCTTGTGATGAAATTCTACTCAATTGATAAGCGAACGTTACGTAAATAATAACAAAATTTCTGTCGGCTTCGAGTCAATTGTGCGGGAATCGAATGTGGACGAGCGTCCGTCACGGCGCGTCACGATATTTTACGAGGAGGTTTTTAGCCGGAAGGAATTCGCCAACGAAAGGGTCAAGCGAGACGAATGGGCGCAACAGCGCGGCGATGCATCGCTATTAAATGCAAAGCGTTATAACGGTACATCCGTAGCCATAGATTTCGGCTCCCCGGTCGCTCTGATGGCCGCTTTGCACGTGCGATCGGTTCCCAGTAGGGAGCCGCACGGCTCCTGAAACGCTCCATGGAACACCATGACAATTGTATACGTAGCCCACCACGCAGCCGTGGCGTCTTCGCGTCCCCGTTGTGTAATCTGGGGCAAGTTCCGTAAATGTTTGCCGCATATCCTATTACGGCACAGCATCAAGATTTAAACCAAGGCCGACGGTATTTGCGTGGTTACCGTGTTATGTAAGCTAATCGAGCATGCACACGAGGATCAAACGAGCCAGTATCGATTCCATTAAAGTTTATAACGTCGTGCTAGCCGTAGCTTTTTTCCGCGTGTTTTCCTCTCGAGTCACCCCCGCGCTTCTCCCTATGATTTTTCGAAAAATCTCACTCGAATTGTCAAAAAATTTCATCGATATAATTCAAACGATCTTGTCTCTCCATATTCTACGTAAAATATTAATAATTTTTTTTTTCTTATTAAAAAAATTGGCTTACTTGATTTAATTATTTCATAATCTCATTGACGAAGAAAAATTTATTTTTAACATTCTGTTAAATTTTAATATCCCGAATTTTCTCACCTCTGCACTTTTCCTTGCGAATTTACGAAAAATCTCACTCTAATTGTCCGAGAGTTTTGTCAATATTCGGATGAGCTCGTCTCTCGCAATATTCTAAATAAATATTAATAAACATTTTTCTATTGAAAACTTGATTTAGTCATTTCATAATCTCATTGACAAAGGAAAAAAATTTAATTTTTAACATTCTGAAATTTTAATGTCCCGAATTTTATCACCTCCGCGCTTTTTTTTTCGCGATTTACGAAAAATCTCACTAATCTCTCTGTAATTCTCTCAGAGAGTTTCGTCAATATTTGATCTTGTCTCTGGCAATATTCTAAATAAAGTATTAATAAATTTTTCTATTGAAAAAAATATGGCCCACTCGAGTCATTTCGTAATCTCATTGACAAAGGAAAATTGATATTTAATATTAAATGTTAATGTCTCGAAACAGTTTGTGGAAGAGGAGAGGAAAAAAAGGAGGGACGATTCGATAGTTTGGTTGCGACATTCTATATATTCTATATATTCTATATACTCTATATATTCGTACAAGATCCTTCTCGGGTTTGCGAGATCGCGCAGTTGCGGGGCTGTTAAAAAGTCGTTAACTTACGTCTTGCGCGGAGAGGACCCTCGTGGCAGCCTCAACGGGAACATTTCCGGAATGTGGATGATGATGTTGCGACTCGACCGTATTATCGCGCTTGCAGACGTTCTTGTACCAGGGCAAGCCATTTCCACCGTCCCTCTCGTTTCGATATTTTCGCCACACGTGCCTGATACGCATGTTAGAAAAATCTTTGCTGTGCGGATGAAAAGAAATGACCGGCCGGCGCCTCGGACGGCGTATCGCTTTCGCAATAAGCAAAATTAGCATACCTGACGCCGAAGGCGATCCCCAATGCGATGATCAGCGGTAATAATGTCGATATGCATGCGAGCAAAACGGTCTGTATATCTGAAAAGCTGGCGAGGATACCTGAAATGCAATAATCATAAAATTCTTGAAGCGAAAGTAAAGGCAATAACTCAAATCATTTTACTAGTTAGACTCCTCTCGTACGATTATCCCGTCAAAGCTTATACGCCGTGTATCGACGGAAACGGATATGGCAACCACGGATAAGAAACGATTCTCTCGCGAACGAAGAACGTTCTATTCGTTCGAAATCTGCTTTCAGTATTTATAAGCGGAAAAATAAGAAAAAGGATAAGTAAATTTTACAAAATAAAAGAGATCACTTTCTAATATTAGCCCTCGTCGTAGCATTGCTCGAGGTTTTTTTTTTCTTTTTCCCACCAATAGACCTTTTTCCAGCGGAGTCTTGTCACGGTGTATGATCGATCGTAAATTTATCTGAAAAAGATTGTCCCGCTTTCGCAGCTTAGACGGCTAGATCTCTCTCTCTCTCTCTCTCTCTAGCGGACTAGCGGTCGTTTTTTAAAGAGCGACCGTTTTTCGAAACGCGAGAGCGCTCCGAGCACTGCGAGATCGAAAGATCGAGGAGAAGATCCCGTAGATCCACCCCGGTCTCCATCCTCCGAATGCATAATTAATTAAAATTCGGCCTGTGAGGAGGCGTCGCCACCCACCTCG